GTTGGCATATGCCTCCAGCCTCGGAATGGGTTCCGGAACGCCGTTCGGCGATGAAGACGCCGACGTGATTTCGGTAAAGGCGCCCTCCGGCCTCGTTGGTTGTTTTGTGCCGCCGTGAACGGTGCCCACCCGCTTCCATCCCGACGGGCATTTCAGTCCAGGTGAATGGTATACAAGGTTGCCATTGTGTGGGGTGGCAGATAATTGACGATTCAGCTCGTCAAACTCCTTTCCGTTGGGTAGGCATCCTTCGTACTTTGGAAAGCTGCAGCTGGGAAAGCCATAGAGCCCTCTTGCATCGCCCAGCTCCGTCTCGATATAAACGTTGGGCGTGGTTGTTGCGCAGGAAGGCGCAGGCGTGAACCTCGTGGTCAAGGGGCCAATGTTGGTGACCGAATAGCCAAAGTACTCCGTCGGCGTCGGCATGATGGTACTCCCTGGACTGTCGGCGGAGGCACCAGTCTGATCACAGCATATGTCAATCACGTCCCATGTTGAATCTGCGTCTTGGCATGCCTTGGATTGTGCTGGTCTGTCGTGGTGTCTCGCGGGTCTTGGGGGTCTCGGGGTCTTGGGCAGAGAAAAAGTCCAAGTCAGCGAGATTCGTCGAGAGAGGATGAGGCATCGTTTTATGTGTCTCAGCTTCTGGTTTCAAGTCGAATGGACAGTTTGTGACTGCGCCGGATGCCAAGACCAAAGACACCATGGAGTGGACAAGTGCACCAGACTCTGTGGGTACAATTACTATTACTACAGACATTTAACCTCGACCCACGAGCCAACCTCTGGCAGCCACCAGTTGGCGTCTGACATCTGGACCAACAGCTGTCTGCCATGGCCGTCGTTGGCACCTGCCAATGCTTGGCACTCAATAATGCATGGATCGTGCCAACCAGCAACAGATGTCAGCTGGCGGGGCTCGTTGTGCTTTGGTCGCCCTCTTCATGTTCTGCATGACGAACTGCTTCCGTGCCCTTTCTTCACGAGGGCATGGGATCAGGTGTCCCAAAGTCGGTAGTCAAAAATGGCCAAATAGTATTCGGGCACGCATAGTCCGTAGACGTCTGGCGCATTGGCAGCACGTGGCTTTGTTAAAACTAGGTACGGACATAAGAGGGCCTGTTTGGACGACGGGAGCTCACAATACCCATTAGCCAACTCTTTCCCACTCTGGGCAAGGTAAAGTCCACCAGGACCCAACAAGTCACATACTTAACGCCCAGGATTGAAGCAAGCGCCAAGCTGTTGTTCCACGACCAAGACGGTCAGACTACGCGACACGGTTGTCATGAGTCGTTAAAGCCTCCGTATGCTCACAAATAGCCGTGGCCACAGTCACCGTCTGCCGTCTCTTGCCGTAAATTGGAGGCCAGCCGCGAAAAGAACGCTGAGCGAAATGCTTTGCAATAGATTTATTTCCTTGCCCATGTCACTCCGCCCACAAAGTCGGTGTAGGCAATATAACTGCGGATCCTGCCAAGTGATTTCAGATGTCATCCTCAAGAAATTTCCGAAAATGCGGCCAGGCTTGATTCCTCCCCCTCACCGTTGATGCCAGCCTACTCCGGCCGGTTGAGATTGCTCATGGTATTTCGGAATCCACACGCCGGATACAGGTGTGCCGCCAGGCTGTCTCGGGGCACTTTTACTCCATTAATTCACTTTGCGACGCAACTGATCACATAACGCTACCACATGTCACGTAGTACGTCTGTTTAGTGCAGTGACATGTCAATTCTCGAACTAGTGTAATATATTCAACAGGACGGTTTGTGGAGCAGTCGGCCTAGACATCGCCGGTGACAGAACAGCCCTTGTCAGCAATATTGCCGCGAATCCACGAGTATCACTTCGACTCGTCTATCGGTCACAGTGCAAATGGATGTCTGTTGTTCAAGCAGTTAGCCAATATTCTAATCAGCTAGGCAACAAAGCAAAATTTGGACAATACGTCAGTTAAAGCAATAGAATCACCGACAAAACTCATTCCCGTCTTGAAACATGTTTTTTTGATTGCATATCATCAGAAGCAAGCATTCAGGGTTGGAGAATATTAGCCATACCTAGAAATTTTGAGCACCTAAACTTGCGGGCATGACAGCCAACACATCTTAGTTATTCAACGTCGGTTGCTGAGACCATTCGAGAAGCTGGTTGAGCCGGCTCGACGGCAGGAAGCTTGAAGGGTAGAAAGGGAACAGCAACAACAGAGGTTGCACAAGCAGCCAAGACGACCCACAGGGCATTCATGTTGGATGGAGGCTAGACGACCGTAGAGGAGCGAAGAAGGTTGACTCAAGAACAACAAGACCGACTCTGGTGGAATAGAATCAGGACAAGCAAGGTTTGCCAGAAACAAAAAATCTAAAGAGAAAGCATGCGATCCAAGAGAAGATTATTCCACTGGAAATAAATAACTGGCCGCGAGTCCTATTTCAGTAGACGCACTCGAGACCGTCGCAAGGCCATAGCCACCATCTATTCAGAAGGTCAGTGCCTGCAACAGCAATCACGAAACGAATCAAGCGGCTCGATCGGCATTGTTCCCAGTCACAATCCTTCACGGCCGCGATGCGACCTGCAAAACATGAATGGATGAAACAGGGGACGGATGAGCGATGGCCTTTGAACACTTGTCCGCCAGTCAACCTGGCGCAGGCGACGTTTCAGAATCGGTTTGAAAGAGCCAAGGGGTAGCAGATATGAAGGATGCTTTGTCGCTTGTGCCATGTGCAAAAAAGCCCCCATTCATGGCAGACGGCACGCATAGCCTGACCCCAGGCCCATTCTTGTAGCCGCGGATCAGCACGAGATAGCTTAGAAGCTGGCTCTCCAATCAAGGTGGCGGGAGGTCGTCTTTCAGGTTGGAGGATGATGTATCATGTCTGGCGCGCGGAAAGAACAGACACAGAAGCGGGTCGGAATAATACGGCGGCCCGTGGTGCCTACTCCACCAGACCTTACTTGTTCCCGAACAGCACTTGGCTCTGAATTAGTCCACTGCATGTCTGACCTGGCGGGGATCTTACCAGCTAACAAGTAGTTCCCTTGTTGACAATGCTTCTAGTCTCGAGTAAAGTTACGTTCTTAATTACGTGAATTTATTATTTATTACTATATACGCCTTCAGAAACTACTTCCAATCCCGACTTTGTCAGTACTCCATGCCACCGACATTAGAACTTGTCGGCCGACGCCCTGTCACAATCGAGTCCGTCATCGAGGAGGAACGAATTGTCATTCATTGGACCTCTAACGGACCGGCAACTGACAAACTGTATCAGGCGCTTTGAGAACAGAAAGAGCTTATATACTACTTCCACTGACCCTCATTCCTCACGCGCAAATCGGGTCCTTCCGGTTCCGCAATGACGGCACCGTCACGCCGACGAATTGACCCCTCTCATGTTTGATGATGATTTTGGAGAATGACGGGGCAGTGAATGCAATACGGCGGAGCACTACATTCGGCTTTACTCATGCGTTCACATCGGACACGCTCACCTTTCACGATCGCCGCTTTCTGAGTCAGCTAAAAGCTGTCTATAGCGAAGGTGACCGCTGAGGCCAGATGGGAGTCAAGACTTTGCTCCGAGTCTTGTCACGCCTTTACATCAAATCAAAGGAGAACTTCGCAACGGCCTGTTCCTACTTCAACTTGCCGACTTTCACGCGAGCAATATTCTGGTTGTCAAGCATTGGAATTTCACGGGCTTGATAGACCTGGAGTGGATATGCGCGCTTCCCTCAGAGATGCTTGGAGTGTCATGTTGGTTGACTGGCTGTGCCATCGACCAGCTTAGAGGCGAGAAACTCGACCGGTTTGATGACATACGACGAGAGTTTATGCACGCATTCGAGGACAAAGAGCAAGCTATGAAAACTAAGACAAGGCACAGCATCACACGTACTACAGTCATGAAAGACATGTGACGGTCAAAAGGAGGGTGGTTCTGGCGCTGCTTGTCATCTTTGAATGCTAAGTTTTATCTTCCCAAAACTCATTTGTATCCGCCCAAATTCCTGTCCATCGAACCCGAGACGTTTTTGTCAAGGTTTGGCGCGGGAACTCGGAGCATGATTCAGAAGAATATGGCGGACAATAGGCGTACGGCGATCAAGTTCTAAAGGTGTTTTGTGAATGAAGGACGTTGGGTTTCGGTGATGGGAGAAACGCCAACGTACACTGGAGGGAGGCCCTGACCATTGGTACAGGTGAATGAACCCATGCAGTCTGAAATCGGGCTCCCCCTTTATGGTCCTCTCTTCTGTCCACGCTCTCTCCCTTGTTTTCTTGTTCTTCCTGTTTGGTGTCTCTTCTCTTAAGCGCGCGTACCCGAAGATACTACGGCGGCAACGACTTTTTTTTTCCCACTCACCGCCAAACCCGGGGTGAAGGCCGTGACACTGAGATGATGGAACTCGAATAAGAAAGCGTAAGACTACAGGTTTTTAAGAGACTAATATTCAATAGTATTTAATTTTTAAGAATACTTTCTATACGTACCGTTTCACATAACTTGCTCAACAGAGAAGAGACTACAGAGTACGGAGTATGAGTAGTCGTACTAGGTTAAGTTCCTCGACTCCACTGACGTATCAATTGATTGTTCATTGGCTAGGAACTTCCCTTATTGGGTGACACGGCTCAGGGGGGTTGTACTGGTCCGCCGTTGTGCATGCAGTACATCAATTGATGTATGCAGGTGGTTGCCGTAGCCCGTGCCACTTCCTCCTGTAGGGTCAATGGGAGCTAGAGACTACAGCTGTACTACGCGTGCCTCCCTTCTGTGGTTCCATTCCATGTCACCTAGGATCCATGCAAACGTCACCTGCGAGTTGGCCAAGTTTATCAGGCACTTATGTACTCCGTACATGCCACCCATATCATCAACGCCATCGTCGACTCCATCGTCGACTTTCTCCCCTCGCCAGCATTGTAGGCTCCATCCTAGACATCCAGCAGCCAGAGACTTCGCTCAGTCTAGACTCAGCCCACCATGCGTACATCATCTCTCCTCGCAACAACCGCCGTCCTGGGCTGCTCTCTGGCCGCAACAACACGACGCCCCAAGGCCAACTCCAAGAGCGCCCAGCCCTCGTACGACGATAGCGACAACCCGCTCCCCCTCGTCATTTGGCACGGCCTAGGCGACGACGCCGACAGCGAAGGCCTTGCCGAAATCGCCAAGCTCGCCGATGACATCGCCCCCGGCATCTTCGTCCACATCATCAACCCTACGCCGGACGGGTCCGACGACCGCACATCCACCTTCATCGGCAACGTCACTCACCAAGTGCAAATAGTATGCGACCAGCTGGCCAAGAACCGCGTCCTCTCCACCGCGCCGGCCATCGACGCCATTGGCTTCTCCCAGGGCGGCCAGTTCCTCCGCGGATACGTTGAGCGGTGCAACTTCCCCCGCGTCCGCAACCTCATCACCTTTGGCAGCCAGCACAACGGCATCACCGAGTTCAAGCAGTGCGGGGCCCTGGACTACATCTGCAAGGCGGCCATGGCGCTCCTGCGCTTCAACGTCTGGAGCACCTTTGTGCAGAACCGCCTTGTGCCCGCGCAGTACTACCGCCCCGTGGAGGACAGCGACTACGCCTTGTACCTGGACGGGTCGAATTACCTTGCGGATATCAATAATGAGCGGGACAAGAAGAATGAGACGTACAAGGAGAATCTCGTCCGCCTGGACAATTTCGTCATGTACCTGTTTGAGAACGACACTGTTGCCATTCCCAAGGAGACGTCGTGGTTCGGAGAGGTCCAGGTCAATGGGCGGCATACGCCGTTGGAGGAGCGCAAGATGTACAAGGAGGACTGGTTGGGTTTGAAGACCCTGGATAGAAAGGGCGCGCTGAGCTTCAGGACCATCAAGGGTGATCATATGCATATTCCGGAGCACGTGTTCAAGGACGTCATGACTGAATTCTTGGGGCCATTCAACAAGACGGCCGTTTCTGTGGACGGCTTTGAATCCGAGGAACTTTGATCCCGTGTGTACTCTTTATTAACTGCTTCTCTCTTAATCTTTTTGGTCTTGTTGGAGTATTGCCACGGAGTAGGAATGGAACCGGGTCGGAACATCGGGTTTAAATTGGGTTCAAGTTTTGATTTCTGAAATACAATAGCCAATAACAGCAGTCGGTAATCAATCAATACGTGTGTTTACTTGTTGGTGCTTCCCTCACCTGGTCTGCATGAACGTTTGAGTGTGGGAGTAAATGCCATTTAAGTCTCTCTATCTCATTCATGACAGGCACGCATGTTTTCAACGCCACAACGCCAGTGCAACAACACATGTTACATGCAGCAGGAAGGACCCTTGACCCATAACCCAGGACAAAAAAATGTCGTCTTTTAGGTCTCTCATCAAACTTTTTTTTTTTTTGGTTCTTCTCTTCAGTCATCCATGGCCTTGGCCGCCGCGGCCTTGCGCTTCCTCAACTTGGCCTTTCGCTCCGCAATCTGCTTGTCCAGCTTGTCGTCGTTGCTCTCGGCGGCAGGCTTGTCCGCCTTCCTGGCCTTCTTGGCGGGCGCGGCGGGCTCGGCGGGCTCGGGGTCGGCCCCCGCGCCGAGCGACTTGCGCTTCTTGCCGACGTTGGGCTTCTCGGCCTTGGTGCTGCCCTGCCCGGCCTCCGGGTCGGCAATGACGTCCTTTTCGTCGAGCCACAGCTCGTCCGTCAGCCAGACGGGCAGGGCGGCGGTGGTGGGGCCCTTGATGTAGATGCTGCGGACGTTGCGCCACGCCTGGGGCACCCATTTGCCGACGAGGCCGGTCGCCACGGCGTCGACGTTGTCGGCGATTTGCTCCGGCGTCCAGTGGGCGTAGCCGATGCGGACGGCGGTGTTGGTCGTCGGGGACAGGCTGACGAGCGCGGAGCTGAGGGCCTTTTCGATCTCCTTGGCGATGTCGGCGGCTGTGCCGGCGTTGACGCCGTCGTCCTTGTCCTTGGTGGTCCTGTCGCGCTTGACGCGCTTGCCGTCGACCTTGGGCCGCTTGGCCGAGAGGACGACGGGGATGGGCCGCTTGGCGGTGGTCTTGTAGAATGTCTTGCCGAGGACCTTGGGCAGGCGGTTGATGATGCGGTCGTCGGCGAGGAAGATGTCGTGCTCGGAGAAGAGCTTGCGCTGGGCGTCGTACTGGCCGTACTTGGTCTTGAGCTTGCTAAAGTCGATGACGCGGGTGATGCGCTTGCTCAGCTCCGCGGGGAACTCGTCTGAGCCGATGATGTTCTTGTAGGCTCGCTGGGGGTCGGCGGTGATGGCGCAAATGGTGGTGTTCTCGTCCGTGTTGAGCGAGTGCGGGACGGGGATCTTGCCGGGCTGGAGGCGAGCCTTGTCGGCAATGTGGCGCTTCGTGGTGAGCGTCAGCCAGATGGGGGTGCCTTCGTCATCCTCGTCCTCGAGGAGATTTCGCTTGGCTGACTCCTTGGAGGTTTCCTTGGCGGCCTTTTTGATGTGCGCGAGGAGGGCCTTGGAGGCTTTCAGAGTCTGCGTCGAAGCGTTAGTGTTTCGAGTTGAAGGACTGGGTGAGCTGCGCTGTGGGCGGGGGACGCACCTGGTCAGGGTCAATTGAGGCCAGGGCATTGGAGCCAACGACGGCAACTTCTTTTGACGGCGCCATGGTTTATCTGGACGTCGATGTGCAGCCAAGTGTGAAGGAAAACCTCCTGGCGGTACAATGGCAAAATCGCAGGGCTGCCTGTTTTTTAAGGCGGTGGTGGGAGGCAGTTTTTTTTTTTCCCTGAGACCCAGAAAAAAGTCCGACTTTTGCGGTTGGCTAGCGCCTGCCAGTGGCTCGGCTTTCGGAAGAAGCAGGTCCCGTGGCTCCGCTACGTCGGTCCGGTCCGGGCTCCGGCTCTCCACCTCGAATGTCGGAGCTCACCCGGAAGGCTAGAGTGTGAGCAGGGCTGGATACATAATATTAGGCTTTACATGTATGGATTTGTGAAGAATCAGAATATTTAGTATTATTCTCAAATTTTGAGTTTTGGTCCACCATATCGGTCCGTCCAGTCTAGTAATGGTATATTCTGGGCGCGAGCTTGGTACAAGAAATGATGTGGGTGAGGTGAGGCTATCATTATCCAACATGCACCTAATCCTAGGCAGCACGACTGTGGCAACATGATTGTGAACTGTAATATTCTCTCTGGGTTTCCTCATGGTCTCGAAGACGACTCTAGCGGTGGGTTAGCTTGTCACTTGAACAAATTTGAAAGAGTTGAGCTTTGTGATGCGACCTGACTTACACGAAGTGGCTCCAGACTCTGACAAACGCTTATACATTTACATTGTGCATTTGGGTTTTTGCCAGCACATTGCATTATTGTTGCACAAAACATGTACAAGATAAATATTACCCGCCCATGGAATGCACATATTCAAAAATCACTTTAATGTCCCCCTTGTAACTTGCACAATTGTTGTAAACTTGGCCATCTGCAGGGTAGTGTCGTCGCGGTATCGTGGCCCGTTTCGAACTGGCGACGCGCCATCACCACCAACAATGCGGGCGGATCACCACAGAGCGTAATCAGACTCACGGCAACATACATACTGTGAAAAAGACGGACACCGTGTTGCGTTCATCAAAACAGCCCACAGCAATGGTTGTGTCGGCCTTTAATCCGGTATCCAGATCTCTCGATGGATGATGCCGACATTGCAACGGCCTCCGCTTCTGTGGAGGGATTCACGACTTTGGAAATGATGGATATTCATTACTGCTACCCGTGAAACACGGAGTTCAAGAGCGTGCATACGGCCGGTGTCGGGCAAACCACCAATGGCTGCGCCCTGTGTGAAGCTTACATGGACACGAACATGGTAGCCTCGACAGGCCCTAGCAAGGACCAGCAGAGCAGCAGCAGCATGCCGCCAAAAAGACGAAACGGGGCCACTACTCCGTACCCCAAGACATATATGACCTCGACATGTCTGGGACGTGTAGACACAAGAATCCGATAAAAGCGAATGGGCGGGTGAAGGGGGAGACACTTGACCACATTGGCAGCTAGTTTGGGGTGCAACTGGGACCGACTAGAGTCAAGGCCGAATGGAAACTCGGCTTCCCTGGGAGGACGGGGACAGAGTACTAATACTACTAGTACCAGTCAGGATTTCGAAATTGTGTGTTTTATTCTGCCGTGATTTGCAGGGTCGGAGCAATGGAGGCGGACGCGCCTGGTGGAGACGTGTTTGCAGAGGAGGCTGGCTTCTTACTTTGGTACATGTAGTTAACATTAATTGATGACGGGCTGTCGAGCTGCCACGCGCGAAATGCCACGGGAGAGCAGAGCCATGGAGCGAGGTGAAGCGTGTCGCGCGAGAGGCAGTGAGTCGATGCAGGCGTTTACGGAGGAAGCCCAGGTTCCAAAAATGGAGGCATCAAGTACTTTGAGCCGAGATGTACATGTCTGGTGTAAAGCGAACATTGAAGCAATTTGATTGATGGCCGGGGCTGCCACAGCGTCTCAGCCGCCAAACGCCCGCTCCTCCAGCGCATGCGTCGCCTGCTCCAGTGCGCTGGACCCCCCGGAAGCCCGCTGAAGGAGCGCCAACGCCGGTCAATCGCCACGGCGGCACAGGGCACAGGGCCCGGGGCAGCCCAAACGCCAACGCCAACGCGATGCGCTTCATCGCGTTCGTGTCAGAGCCCACTTTGCCCGCTTCGCTTCGCTTCTGCCCGTTTAAAATACTCTCGACCGCTCCTCGCCCGTCCTCGTTTGCACCTCTGCTTGCACCACGCACGCCCAAGGCCCAAAGTCGAAGCCAACGTCTATACACCACCCCCCTCCGACCTGCTCCTGCGGCCCATGGTGATATCCATCGAGCATCCAGACACCAATTTGCATAGCTCTCAGTGCTTGTAGTCACAACGACGTGTAAGTCTCGGTGGGTGCCTTGGTTTTCGTGCCTCTTTACGCGCTTGGCAGCCACGACGACACAGACGACAAATATCCAAAATTACATCGAGAGCTGCTTGGTGGCACGCAAGAATGGTCTCGGGGCCCCGTTGCCTTCACTTTCATTAACTAACAATATCTTATTATAATGGACTCATCTCCGCCGCGTGCTGCTGCTGCTGCTGCTGCTGCGGGCAACGAAGCCGCGTTGCCATCCGCCTCCACGTCTGCTTTGGCTCGTTCCTCAACCTCAACAACCACGACTGGCACAAAGCGGCCTGCACCGTCACTTCTGCCTGCCTTCGAGCCCCTCTCGTCATCTCCGGCACTTCCTCGTCCATTGAAACGCCAGCACACAGCCAGTGCAAATTTCAAGTATCCCACGCCTGTGCCCACCTCCAGCACAGGCATCTTGTCCAGCTCGCCGCCTCGCCGACCTGCCCTGGCCCGCGGCACTTCCGAACGCGCACCTCTGTCGGCCGTGCCGGCTGTTGAGCTCCCCGAGAATGGAGAAACCGTAGGCATGGGTCGGTCGTCTAACTCCTCGCAGTTCCAACTCTCTGCCAACCGCCTGGTGTCGCGTGTCCACGTCAAGGCGCGTTATATACCGGCCCCGAGCCCGCTGGAAAGCAACAAGATTGAGATTATCTGCAATGGGTGGAACGGCTTGAAGCTGCATTGCCAGGGACGGACTTGGGAGCTCTTCAAGGGTGACAGCTTTACCAGCGAGACCGAGGGGACCGACCTCATGGTAGACGTGTTGGATGCTCGTGTAATGATTCAGTGGCCGAAACGTAGTGCCGTTGCTGCTGAGAACCTGGCAAACCTGTCCGACTCCAGCTGGGATGACTCCCCTCCACGGTCACACATGCGAAGAGCCTCGTTGCTGCAGTCGTCTCCCCTGCGGAGGACTACACGTATCACGTCGCCGGAGAGCCCGACGCCCATGGGCAGCCTGCCAAGCTCCCAGCGACTCCAGGCCATTCTTCCAGGCCCTGCTAGCCGGGACGAGGGCATCCAGATTTACGAGGATGAGCCGGAGCTGCCCGAGCCCAAGGGTGACGATGCCGTTGATGTCGCTGCCAGTATGCGGACCGATGCCACTGCCAGCTTCTCCAGCGAGCTGAGTGACCCTGAGGATGAGAATGACCCGGATGAGGAGAACGACCCCATTGTTCACTCGTTTGGCCCCTTTGGTGCCAACATTGCAGGGAGACTAGCTTCGATATCGACACGGTCGCCCAAGCAGCCCAAGCTACATCATCGGCGTCCTCACAACGTCTCTTCCAATGAGACGCTGAGCGCGGCTGCGACGCCGTCTGAAGTTCCCTCATCACCCATCAAGAAGCGAGTGGCTGGTCCCAAGCTCACATGCACGACGACGACGACAACAGCCTTGACCTCAGCCAACGACATACATGATATCCCATCATCACCGCCCGTTGCGCCTCGTGTTTCCAAAGAGCACACTCCCACCCCATCCATCGAGGTCGACCCTGCCGTCACAAACCATGTCGTGAACCAGCTGGCCTTCTCTCGTCTTTCATCAACGCCCCTGTCCACAATCATGCAAAACCTGCCTGCTGATCAAAAGACCGGCCTGACAAGAGACATTCTCCGCTCCAGCATTGAAGCCACGCGCTGCATCGGCATAATCAAGCGCCAAGGCAAAGACGCTGCGGGAAAAGCGCTCGAAAGTGAATATTACTATGTCCCAGAACAAGACGACGATGAGCAGCGCCGTGCAGCCGTCGTCGATGGTCTCCGAAAGCCCAGTCTCCGCAACTGCAGAAAGCAGCACAAGGTTTGTGACCCTCTGACGTCTACTATCAAGAGTGGGAGCTCACACCCCATAGCAATATTATTGGAAGCGTCCCAAGACGCCGTAACAATTTCAAGTTTCGGGGGGACAAAATTTAACGTTTAATCCATTATCGCTAGTACGAACATGACTTGGTGTTTGATTTCGTGTACATAGTCGACTCCGGTTGCACATTTTCGGCGTCTTTGGGTTTCGTCATTGTTCTTTTTGATCAAGACTGAGGCGAAAGAGAAAAACCCCATGCATAGCCCGGCGTTGGTTTGCTTGTCGGATGGGCGGGGATGTTGGTATTGTTTGGCTTACGGGATTGCCCTGTGAGGGATGTGTTTGGCCCTCTGGCCTTGTACGGGGGAGGCGGGAGCGGGTTGTCGAGTGATGAAGGCGTCTGAATTGATTCCATGTCTTGTGCGCGGCCAAGTTAGCGATGTATACTCGTGTACTTTGTGAACGAGAGGAGTAGAGAAGTGGAATGCCAGCGTGGTTCTAGGGTACGAGGCGTGATGCATGCTATAAACAGGAACTCTCGTACATCAATTGATGTCATTCCATTCGAGCTCGGTGCTACTTCTCCGTCCCGCCAGAGTTTATTGCGAGCTGGACAACATTTGAAGTCTTTAAGAGGCGGATGCTCCGAGTGTGCCCTCTGGATCCTATGTGCCGTCTTGTGCAAGTGCGCCACCTATTTCATCGGAAAGTATATGCACAGCCATGAAAGCAGCCAGGCCGATAGTGTGGCACGAGCCTTTACGATTTCGCGGCGAGTTTGTGCCCGCGCAGTCGGCCGTTGGCAGCAACGTCTGGTACCGTCAATACATGCATGTACATCGGCCTCATTGCACCGGCATCTCATTCGTCAAAGCTCAAGCTATCGAAACAAGGTGCAGCTGCAGCTGCAGCTGCGCCAAACAGCCCAGCCAGCACCCCGCGACGAGTGAAGTGGCAAAACATGCCATCCGCGGCCCTCACTTCAATCTTCGTCATGACCAGCTGAATCCTCCCCCCGCCAAAAAAACAATCACTGGTAATTTTCAACTTTTCGCCATGTCGGAAAAGACTACGCCGCAGGGCCCTTTCCACCCCGCAGGTTCGTATTTGCCGCCCTCCCTGACCACCGTGTATGTATGTAGTCCCGCGATACTGACAGCAGCAACGACAACCAGACCCATCGTCAGCAGCGAGCGGCGAGGCCGCGGCGGCGCGGGCCACGTCCGCCGCCGACGCGTGGAAGCCCAGCTTCGACAGGCGCCAGAGCTGGAGCAAGGAGGACCAGAAGCACGCCCTGCAGATGAGGGCCGTCGAGGGCGTCAAGACGGGGCTCGGGTTCACCGAGAAGACGTCCTAACGGCCCACGGCCCACGGCCCGCAACTAAGTGCCAGTCGGTGCCGGGAAAAGTTGGGACGAAGAGAAATGGAGGCGGGAATGGGTGACGGACAAAACAAGCAACAGAGAGGACCAGGATGACCTGCCATACGCGGCAATATGCATGGATGACGAGAACAAAGGGACATCACGAACGGAGATTCACGCAGAATATACATAATCGCTACATTTAACGCTGCCAAGTAAAGTACCCTATCCCGTAGTCGTGCCATGCCCGTGTCCCAACTCCACAGCGCCAAATGTGAACAAAAAAATTAAAAAAAAATTGACAAGAGTAGAGACGTCAACTGTGCTGAGTCGAGTGCGTCCCCGAGGGTATTCAAACTATTCATCCTCGTTATACATGTGTCTCTGCACCCATCCCCAACGCGCTCACAACAGCTTGCCACCGGTGGAAAAGTATTCTCCCACCACGCTGACGGCATAAGCCGTGCCTGCCACCCAGGCCGTGCCAATCACCACCTTGCGCCCAAGGCTCCTCTTCTTCTTTACAACTTTGATTTCCGGCCCTTGCCCGTACGTCGCGGGGCGATACTGAGGCGACTCGTAATTGACAAAGCCGGTTGGGCTGGCAAAGTTGCTCGCAGCTGAGCGGCCCATCATGTCGATGGGGTTCACGGTAGAGCCCGAGCTTTCTGTAAATGACGGCCCTGGCCGGACCTTGCGGAACACGAGGACGTCGCCGCCACCCGACGCGATTTCATAGCCCTCGGCCTGCAGTGCGCTGAAATAAGGGAAGAACTTGGACGGGTTCGAGACTCGAAGCATGACTTCTGCAGGCGTTGCAGGCGCCGCCGTGTTCATGACACCAGAGGACGTTTCGCCAATGCTCATGGTCTGACTGGTCGGGTCAAACGCAAGCAACTTGTATAAAACAGGCTGCTTCTCGCCCGTCGCTTCTGGCCCGGCAAAAGAGTCCTCGTTTGCCTTGCCCTTGTGGTGACGCACAAATGTTGGCCAAGTGGCCTTGCCACCACACTCTTGGTCCCAGTTGATCTCCAACCCCTGGGGGATCCTAGAGTAGGGATCCTCTTCAACCTTCATTCTCTCTAGCGGGGACATGGCGGTTGGGGATGCTCGCCTTCCACCGTTCCTATCCAGCGCAGGTTGTAGCTTTGACGACTGAATGGGAAAACTCTCATCCAGAGATGAGACTTCGGCCTCCCCTTTCTCTGAGCCAAGCAGGCCGGCCCCGGCAGCAGCTTCGCTAGCCTGCTCCTTGGTGGCGAGGTTCTTTGGGAACAGCGTCGTTTTTGACCACGAGTTCGATGTATCCCAAGAGGTAGCAAATTCATCCGGAAAGTCCTTGGCATAATTTCCCGTCATGGAGGGACTACCAACTGTCTGTCCGAGACGACCAATAGTGTCTTTTGTGTCTTTGCCATTGGAGTCTCGGGTGTTCCCCTGCTGGAATCTGGCTCTTTGGAGCATAGTGTGTTTGCTGTTTCGGTATGCTCTTCGGAGGACATCTCCTCGAATTTCATCTGCGGTTTTGGGCACGAAATAAGACTCCCCTGAACCGTCATAATCTCGGAGGCTGCTTGCCACGGGGTCAAGCTTCTCCATTGGCCTGCCATTGGGCTCATTATGGCTGATCGGCTTGTACGATTTCAAATCGGAATAAGCCTTGGAGGCTTCCTCGGGGTGCATCGGGTAGGGCGTGGATGGCGAATCAAATGATTGGGGCTTGTATTTGTCCAGGTCCGTGTAGTTCTTGGTGAGCTCCTCAGGGTGAACATGCTCGGTTTTATCAGGCTCTTCGTAGCCAGCAGAGGGGTACTTGGAAAGGTCCTTGTACTGCTTCGAGGCGAGCTCGGGATGGACACGCTCCGTCGTAGGACCCGCGTTGGGGAACGAGTCATACTTTCGCAAGTCACTGTATTGCTTTGAAGCCTCTTCAGGGTGAATCCGTGGAGTTGACGGTCCGGCATTTGGATACTGAGAATACTTGTGCAAATCCTCATAGTTCTTGGATAGCTCTTCGGGAGTCAATTTTCGAAGACCATCCGGCTCGTTCCATTTTACAGGTCCATATTTATGTAAATCATTGTATTCTTTGGCAGGGTCCTCCATGGGGACTACCACTTTGGCGGGGACGGGTTCCGCTTTAGGAGTGGGGTCTTGTTGCTTGACTTCGTGAGCCTTTAAAACGGCATCAGGAGCCACAAAACCTGTTCTGTACGAGTCTAGATCGCTATATTTCTTGGACTCTTCTTCGGGCGTGAGATTTCGAAGGCCATCGGGCTCGTTCCAGGCCACAGGACCGTATTGGTCGAGATCATCATATTTCTTGGAGAGTTCCTCGGGGGTGAGCTCGCGCAGTCCATCAGGCTCATTCCAAGTAACAGGTCCATATTTATCCAAGTCGTCGTAGTTCTTGGAGAGCTCCTCCGGAGACTGTTTACGAAGGCCATCTGGCTCGTTCCACTCTACAGGCTTATACTTTTTCAGGTCATCGTACTTCTCCTTAGACGTTTCGGTGGTAGCAGTTTCACTCGAGATGTCGGGCGAGGCGTATTTGTCCAAGTCCCTGTACTGTTTCGATTTTTCTTCAGGAGTGGGCTTTTGCAACCCATCAGGCTCATTCCAAGTCACAGCGGTGTATTTTTTGAGATCATTGTATTTCTTGGAGAGTTCCTCAGAGGAGAGTTTTCGCGGAGTATTTGGATCATCGAATTTGTGTGGCCTGTATCCTCTTAGCTCGGCAGCCTTCGAAGCAGATGGCGTATGAGATTTGGATGATGCGGCTGTAGTTTGTGAGCGCTCCCTCGTCGATGTGGTGGCGTGCAAGACAGACTCCGGAGTGACGTCCTTTGGAGTCTGCCTGCCATGGAGGTAGCCGCTCAAGCGTGACGACCAATGTCCTGAACGTTGCGAGCGGTCCTTGTTTCCGCCGCTGAACAAATGGTCAATTGCCTCGCGCTCGACGTCTTCGATATTTCTCCCCGGGCGCACGCCGGAGAGTTCATCGGACCATGACTTGACGTCATGAACGTTGATGTATTTGGTGGGGCCATGGGCGATGTGAGCAAACGCCGACTTCATAGCAGTCTGAATACTGTCATGGCGAGGCTTGTTGTCCCAAGATAGCCTGCGGTTTACAGACTCCATGTATCGATAGCGATGGGCGCGATGGCGGCGTCGAGAATTGTGATAGGCATCTCCATCACAGTCCCTAGCCCAGGCCCCGAACCACAAGGTCCTGCATTGCCGGTGTCTCGAGCGAATGAGCGCGGCGGTGCAAGGAGATGGCAGCTGAATGCATCTCCGCGGGCGGCGTGCAACCGCAGACAGACCATTAACGCGAGACGTTAAATTCGACGTTGCGGGGGAGAGCATGATGAGCGGCGAATCAAGGTGCTGCTGGGCCGTCAGACTGCTAGGCAAGTGAGCCGTTGAAGCAAGCGTCAGAGATCTAGTACCTTGCGCATTGGTCTGCAGGGCCTAACCACAGGACAATACTTGGCGGCGACGGGCTTGAAGCTGATAAGTAAGGAGGAGAGAAAGAAGAGGAGAGAGAGATTGAGGGGAAGGAGAAGGAGGTTCCAGGTGCAACGATGAGGGCACACGATGGCGAAGGGCTTAGAACCGGAGTGACAGCCGGACAGACAGCCACATGTGACAGGGATGGTCTGGTTGAAGTGGACGAGGCGGGCGAGGTGGGAATCGGAAATGCGGGGCGGATTGGAGGCACCCAAAGTACCCGAGCACGTAGCAGAGCAACAGCGGATTGAACAACGACGTCAGCGCCGGCATCAATCGACAGGGGGATTGCTGGTCTGTGCTGAGCGCGCGTGCTCGTCGTGAGCACATGCACGTCGTGAGAACAGTCAGGGCTTTGGTCTTGATTGTGCAAGATGAAGCCGGGAACGCGGCTACAAAAGAGAAGATGCAGACGCAGGGTTAGGCGGCGAAGAAACGAAGGACTCTTAGGCTTGTCGATGAGGGCGTGACAGCTTGGGGAAGGTGCGTGGTACAAAGGTACACAACAAGCTCGTCGACTGGGCTCGGCTTGGATCTGGCCACACGACTGGTGATTGGAGGCGCGGCAAGGAACATGTCGGGTCGATGCATGGGGCTTCAGATATCGGCTGATGCGACGCAGACCAAGGTGCAGATAATTCTCCAGGAACAAACCAACAAGCCGCCAACTGGTCTGAGGGGGGATGCCGCAGCTTGGACATGGCGCTGGCGAGGTGAAGCTGCATTGAAGCCTTGGTTGGATACAGAACACGGAACAGCATCATTGAACCAAGCATCTATGTATCTTTCTTTGTTGGGTTCTCCCAATTGCTCCACCTCCGCACTTGGACGTTGGGCATGTTTTGTCTTGTGCAGTCGATGGCATCTAGGCGTCTGGTCGGCCCAGTGGAGTCTGGTTGCCTGCGAAACCCTGCCAGCACAGTTGACCTGTCCCTTGGGCTCCTGGTGTTGAACGTTGTCAGCCGATGTCTGCTGCACCCGGATGACCAACCACCCATGGCGACATTGAATCCCGGCAACATGCCACAACGTACAATTCATAATCTACCGGAGGACAGAAAAAGTATTTGACGAGACCAGATGCTCTCCTATCGCTATGATGTGACGGAGTATACTACCTAGGTAGGTACCTATACATAGTCTGCCATACTTAGGTCACTCGGTCCTTTTTACCAACATTGAATGCGGGTGCGTCTTTTTCCAGTATCCCTCGTCAGCGTAGCACCTGCACCTGTAGGCTGGACAGCGGCAAAAGTCGGCGCCTCCATGCGCTGTAACATCCATTCACAGGCTTGAACAGCCCCTGGCCAGTGGGGGGCCCAACTCGCTGCGTTGAAAACTGGCGGGGCACTGGCGGAACCACTGCCCAAAGCCAACCAGTAAGCATACCGTAAGCGTTAGTCAACGGCCCACCGCCCCGCCAGCGGGTGGCTCTCTCTCCGCCACCTCGTCTAAATGCGGAAATCCGGGGCAGAGACACGCCAGCGACCCCCCACCGCCAACACCTAGTGACCTAGCAGTGAAACTGGTTTCGAGTCCGGTTCTTGCCTCAAGTCTACCTTGAACCACCGAGGTCCACGATGGCGGCATATAGAACATGGAGTCGGGGGCTGGGGTGCTCATGGAAAAGATGGCTCTGTTTGGCGTGGATGAACCTGTCGATCCCGCGGCCGCTCAAGGTCGTTGGCGGATGGCCGGCTCGTGTGTTGGCCAAGGGGCGTTGGACTGCAAATGTTCTCTCTTTACGACGGTATGCACCTTAAACACGAACCACGTCTTCAACCACCAAGCTCCAAAACTGTGCCAAAGGCGTCTCAGTGTACAGTCGCTTTTGCATCAGTCGCGACACATGTCAGCTAATAGACTTTTATCTCGCGCCTGCGCACCAAACTTGCACCGCCCAGTCATCCGAAAACGTCTTTCGACATCCCAATAGAGAAAGACAAAAGAAGTATGGAGAGGAGAAAAACGCTTCCACTGGCAGTTGAGTACTATGGCAGAGATTGTATTGCTACATGCGGCGCCACAAATCCATTGCGGTTATTGCTCGCGTGTCCCAATTCGTGACTGCTGGCCGTCGACAAAAATATCCAATTCGGCAGCTCGGCGCTGACTACGTCATGCTTCCCCCTTCTTTCACATGGTGCTCAAGGATGTATAGACCCTCCGTCTTTTGGGAGTCTATGCATCGGTCGTAGTAGAGGTCCTCAAACCTGGGAAGTGCGCTGATCTCTGCACTCTACAATTCAGTGGCCATGATGAATGTATATCATTGGTTCGGACAAGGCCATGGAAGTCTGAAGTATCCGACGAGCGATGCTTGTCACGGTCCATGACGGCCATGACAAATATGATGAAGTTTCTCATATAAAAGGGAGGATGTTATGCTTGCACGATACTTGTGTCATGCTTGTATTATCATTTATCGCGATTGACAGCTATGGACTGGATTAAAGCGTGGAATTGTCCTTTTTATTTGAAGCTATCTAGGGAGGGAAAACAGGCCCTTTTTATAGATATCGACCGTCATCTAGCTAGTTACCTAGGAAGTTAGTAATTAAGGGATTTTTAGCTATTAAAGGTCTAGCTTTAATAGGGTGGTGGCGTAAGCTTTTTAGAGGCTTTTAGAGGCTTTATTTTAATAATTATATTAAGGCTTTTAAGGCTTTTTAATAATACTAATAAATAGCTTTTTTTTTTATTAAAAAGGGGCTTTTAATATTAATATACCCTTATAGCTTATTTTAAGAAACTATTAAGGTTTAATAACTTTTAAGTTAAGCTAGAAATTATTAAACCTTAATTTCTAAGGTAAGCTAAATTCTAGTTATTTTAGCCTTTTTTAATAATACTAATAATATTAATTAATTTTAGCTGCTTAATAAAGTAATTAAATTATTAGCTTATAAAAACCTTAATTAATTTATTTATTAGATTATTATTATAACGGCTAAGGTTCCTAAGGGATAAACTAGTTGTAGTTTATATTAGCAGAGCTACTAGGGCAGTTAATTTAAGCAGTTAGGTGTTACGTTAGTAATAGGTTATAAACCATAACTAAGTAATTAAAGTTAAAGAGTTATAAGTAAAGCTTATTTAATATAATAATTAGTATTAAAAGCTAAGAAGCTAAAGTCTATTTATAGAGTAAAATTAGGGTTTTTATATATAAGGTGGTTACTCTTTCTTAAGAGTGACTTTTAATTATAAGTTATCCTAATTATAAGGTAATTATATTAACTTATATAGTAATTATTCTAATTATAAAATAACTTTTATAATTACTTTATATACTTTAATTATTTTTTTAATATAGGCCTTATTCCTCCATAAGGTGGCTTATATAGTTAGCCTATTTTACGACCTATATTATAGCTTATAGCTAGGTTATAATATAATATCCCTTCTCTTATAGTTTTATCCTTAAGGCTTAAGTTTTATATTATAAGTAGCTCTTTTTCCTTGCTTATATTAGTTATAAGTTTTCTTATTTTTTTTTATTTTTTATGATGTCCTTTTAATACTATATCTAGCTATATTTCTAAAAGTAAATTAAAAAGTAAGTTATTACTTTATTTTAATAATCTTTTTTTAGTTATTTTTTCTTATTTAATTAATATGTTATTTTACTTTACTTATTCCTCTTAGGGTATTCCTTTTTATAAGGTATTACCTATTAATTCCTTATAATATTTTAAGTATATTTACTTAAAATACTTATAATATAATATTTTAAGTATTACCCTTACTTAGCTTTAAAAGATAATTAATTAATATATTAAGCTTAAGTCTAAGTTAAAGGCTATAAAGGAGAAAGTCCTTTACCTTAAAAAATAAAAGAAAATATAATTTAAGAAAATAATATAAGTAGTCTTATAGGGTATTAATAATATAAAGAAGTTAAAATATATAAAAAAGAAAAAGGCTAAGTATAAGGAGTATTATATGGCTAAAAACCGTCTTTTTTTTTTTTAGTTTATTAGATACTGATTTTAAAAGGGTCTAAGATAACATATATTTAAATATTATATTATCTCCTTTCTTGCTTATAAACCTAAGATTTACTAATTTTAGTAATACTTCTGGTAAAACTGCCTTAATAAGTACTAGTACTTTTTTAGGTACTTTATAGGTTCTTATATATTTTTTTTATGTTTATAGTTTTTTTACTTAATAAGGTACTAGTATATTTTATTTTTTATTCTTATATCTAAGATTTATTTTACTTTATATTCTTTATTATTT